CCCCCCCCCCCCCCCCCCCCAGTTTTGGTAAACAGGTTGTACGTCCTGGCACCTTGGTTGTGTCCTTAAATAGATTGATAGGTGTTTTTGTTTTAGGGGGCCTTAAGGACCTATAGTTACAAATATATTCAAAGCATGTTTGTCATTTTATATATTCCACAGGCTACTAATCCTTTAGTTTTTAAGAAGAAATTTCCACTTCTACTGAAACAGTTATGGTAACTGGAATAACTGTGAACCAGAATATTAAACCTCTTGGCTTTGTGACATTCTCAGTATTGTTTTTGGGAGCACAACTTCAACATTTCTGTGTTTCGGAAACTTTAGAACTGGTGGTATTTTGATCCTGGTAACTGCAGTTGTTACCCTAACAGTGAAGTCTCTTTTGTTCTAATGGTATTTTGATACCATTATGACTTTTCCAGTATGTTAGAATGTCATATGATTGATCAATCCTGGCAGTGGCTGGAGAGATTGGTGGGTGGTGGTGGTAATTTTGCTTGTGTTTTTTTTTTAACACTAAATAATGACTTTTCTGATCTTTTTGACCTGGGCCAGATGCTTTTTGTACTTGGAGTGCCTAGATCTTTTGGCCTTTGTCACTACTGTCTCTTCTGGATCCTTCTCAGTACTGTAATCAAATATTTTATATACATCTGAGGTCATTACAAGTGGCAGCCTCAGTTTTGTGAAGGTTCTTGTTTGTTTGTTTTTAGATTGGTATCATGTGGGAGGCGCTATTTGACCCTGAAACCCCTTCTTTTAAGAAATCTCAAGCAGTCAAAGGGAAAAAACTTTCTAAACAGGCTACTGTAGCAGGTTTGAGTCCAGGGGCAGTTATGATGCCCCCTGGTGGCCACACAAATCCTGCCCCATCTGCGACTCCAGAGGCCCTGACTTTCTTTTTCCTCGCCTGCTATGCCTGTGATACTAAGGTTTCGTAGTAATTAGGGTCGGAAGGGACCTAAACAGATCATCAGGTCTGACCCCCTGCCTTGGGCAGGAACATGTGCTAGGATCATATCACCCCAGCCAAGTGAGCACCACTTCACTTGAGAGACCATTCCAGAGCCTGGTGGCCCTAACTGTAAAGTAATGTCTCCTGATGTCCAGCCTGAACCTTGTCTCTAACAATTTGTGGCCATTATTCCTAGTAATGCCACGTGGTGCCCAGGGGAACAGAGCCTCCCCCAATTTCTGCTAGTTCCCCCTGGTGAGTTTGTAAATGGCCATCAGATCCCCTCTCGGCCTTCTCTTGTGGAAGCTGAATAGGTTCAGGCCCTTTAGCCTCTCTTCGTAGGGCCTGCCCCGCTGCCCCTTGACCATGCAAATGGCCCTCCTCTGGACCCTCCCAATGCTAGCCACATCCCTCTTGAAGTGCGGCGCCCAGAACTAGACACAGTACTCCAGCTGTGACCTGACCAATGCCGCATAGAGGGGAAGGATCACCTGCCTGGACTTGCTTGTGATGCATCTGTAGATGCACAACAAGGTGCAGCTAGCCTTACTGACTGCTTCCTCGCATTGGCGGCTCATGTTCATCCTGGAGTCAGCAATGACTCCAAGATCCCTTTCTGCCACCATGTTGACAAGGGTGTTCCTCAGCCTACAGGCATGTTGCTGATTCCTTCTCCCTAGATGCAGTACCTTGCACTTGTCTGCATTGAATTCTATCCTATTCTCATCCGCCCACCTCCGTAATTTGTCTAGATCTTGCTGGATTCTGTCCCTCCCCTCCAGCATGCCCACCTTGCCCCACATCTTGGCGTTGTCAGTGAATTTGGACAGTGTGCATTCCCCACCCACATCAAGATTGCTGATAAAGCAGTTGAACAGTACAGGCCCCAGGACCGAGCCCTGGGGGACTCCACTGTCCACATCCCTCCAGGTCGAAAACGGTTCATCCACCACCACTCTCTGGGTGCAACCATCTAGCCAATTTGCCACCCATCTGCCCATGTAGGTATTAGGGCCACAGTCACCTAGTTTTTTAAAGAGAAAAGTGGTGGGAAACCGTTTCAAAGGCCTTAAAATCCAGGAAGACAACTTGCACCCTGACACCCTCATCCAGGGACTTTGTGACCTGGATCATAAAAAGAAACTAGGTTAATCAGGCAGGACCTGCCCCCAATGAACCCATGCTGGTTGCCCCTGAGCATTACCTCCCCTGCTGGGCCCTTGCAGATGTGCTTCTTGATAATTTTCTCAAAGGCCTTCCCAAGGACCAAGGTAAGACTGTCCTATAGTTGCCGGGGTCCTCTTTTCTCTCCTTCTTGTAATTGGGGACCACATTGGCCCTTTTCCAATTCTCTGGTACCTGGCCAGTGCCCCACGAGCAGTCATAGGGCCGTGCCACCAGTTCTCTCAGCACCCACAGGTAAAGACCATCTGGACCTACTGATTTAAACATGTTCAGCCCCTCCAAAGGTTCCCTAACTAGGTCATCCCTGATCCTAGGCATGGCGGTGCCTCCCCTGGGTCCATCTGCAGTTCTAGTGGGGGAGATGTCCTGATCCCTGTTCAGGAATATGGAGGCAAAGAATTTGTTAGAGGTCAGCTTTTTTGTTTGCTGCAATCACCAGATTGCCAAGCCTATCCTGTAGGGGCCCTATGTTACCTGGTGCCTTCTTCTTACTTCCTATGTATTTGAAAGAGGACTTTTTATTATCCTTAATTCTGGTCACTAGCCCTAGCTCCATCTCTGCCTTGGCCTTCCTAACAGCCTTGCTGCAGTCCCGAGCAACGGAGGTGTAATCCTCCTTGGTGATAGCCCCTTGCTTCCACGGTTTGTATGCCTCCTTTT